TTATAAAAAAAATCCTATAAATTATGTGTCCTGTATTAAATCTATTCCAAAAATTAATAAATAAATCTATTCCCAGGGTCTGGGGGTTTAGCTGAGCGGTACAGCGCCTGCCTGGCAAGCACAGGGTCGTGAGTTTGATTCCCGGTATTGGAAGAAAAACAAAAAAACAAAAACAAAAACAAAAACAAAATCTATTCCCTTATAAACCCTGGCTACCCCATTGCTTCAGAATCCTGGTCTGTACTTGGGCGGCCTTGTCTGTGACTATTTTTCTGCCCCTTCCAGCAGAGGGTGATCAGTGGTCCATCATTCCACAGGGGCAGCATCTGCATTCAATGAGCATCCAAGATTATGCCTCAAAGCCAGACCAGTGTCCCCAAAGAAACTCCTGCTAAGCCCAGCACGGTGGCACACACCTATAATCCCAGCACTTGGGAGGCAGAGTTAGGAGGACCACTGTGAGTTTAAGGCCAGCCTGGAGTACCTAGTGAGACCCTGTCTCAAAAAAAAAAAAAAAAAGCTAGAAAGAAACTCCTGTCGCTAACAGAAAACATGGTTAGGGGAAAGTGAGTGTCCCCTACTCCAAACCCTTCAAATCACACCCAGATCTTTCTCACAAATACTAGAAATGGTCTCTGAAAGAATATTCTGGGCTAAAGATCCTGAGAGTACCCACCATCATGGCAGAGGAAAGCTATTCCAGGATACACAAAGACATAAACTAATAAAGTAGGGTTTCCCATCCCTAAGCATGCTACAGACTCTAATACTGATGTATAAACCGATACACTAATCAGAATCCTATAGAGGAACACACCCATTCCCCAGACACCACCATGCAGTGGTCACTTTCACCCTTACCCCACCTTTTCTTCTGGCTCACAAGTCCTAAGAGGCCCTCAGATACCCAGACCTGTCCTGAAGGAGATGCTGATGGGGACAACATGGTGAGCACCAGCCAGAGAAGAAGTCTTTAAGACTCAGCAGGACTCCTCTTGCCTAACATCCTCAAAGACATAGGGCCCCCATTTGATCCCAGGCTGCCCGCATGCTAGGTTCTCTTCATCTTTCCTAGCAGCCATGGCAACCCCCTACCTACTCCATCCCTGGGCTCCTGCTAGGAGCCAACAGAACACATCCATCATCATAAGTCCAGGCCCCCTAACTAACTCATCTCATCTTTTAAAAGGACCAAGAGAAGTTAACCCTCCCTGTCTCTTTTGGATCTTAGTGACAGATTTTTCTGATTCACCTCATTACCTCCTCCTATAGGGGCTCATTCATTTCCACCTCATTTTCCTCCCGGTTTTCATTCCCGTCCCTGTCCCAGCATATCCTGCTAGGGTAGACACTACCCTCATTCACTCAGCATTCAAAACCCACAGGTACAAACTCACTCTCTCTGCCCTTCTCTCTCAATTAATACAGTTCCTCTCTTTTCTGCTCCACCCCTACAAATCAAAGCCAGACAGTCTGCAAATCTTTGGATCCCAAATGTCAAGAAGAAACAAACCATAGAACAATGATGTAATACAATGCTGTCTCTGGGCTTTGATTGAGCAATAGTGGAGGACAGGACCACTCATTCCACCCTGGATCTTTCATGCCTCACTTTTTCCCAAGTGTTAGTAACCTCCACAAAGATTGTAAACCCCTCTCTTCACATCTCTGAATCTCCATAGTGTCTAGCAGAGCTGTGGTACAAAGGTCAAGCAAATACTTGACAAAGGGAATCCCTAGTAAAGCATGAGCTATTCATCACGTGCTGCCTAGGATCATTCGTGGACTTCAAAATTTGAAAGTTAGCGGGGACCACGGGGACAACAAGTTAAGTCCTAAAAAGCCCAAGCATGTGCACTGAGGATTCCTGCAAGGTGGTGTCTGGCCTGGCTCTGCGACCATCTCCATGACTAGCATGCCGAAAGGAGCCCCAGCCCTCTCACAATTGAGCTCTCTGTTAATGAGAAAATCCGTTTTTCCTCCCATTCTCAAGAAATCTGTCCTCCCTCCCTCCCTCCCTCTGCATTCCGCACACAATAACCACAGAGCTGTTCACAGGGTTCGTGTTTTCTGGGAGAGCCTAAGTGCCCACAGGTGCCCCAACTCAGGACTCTGAGCAAGTGTGCGGGACAAAATGGCTTGTGGCTTGCTTGTCTGAAAGTGGTAGCAAACTTTCTCCAGGCAAGTATCACCTTTCTGCTGGGCCATAGGTTTAGAATGATCACAGGGAAGAGAAACAGTAGGAAAGGGAGCCAAGGCCCACGTTTCTGTGCACACCTGTCACCACTCCAACCAGCCCACTGTCCACGGGACCTCTCATACCTTCCCCCACCAACGAGGTAGGAACTTCATAAGACAAAGGACCCCCGAGTGCTGGGCCCCTTCCCGACCCCACCTCCAGCCCGAGTGTGGCAATGTTGATTACACTCTCCACAGAGCACAGGCCCGCAGCACACAAGGGTGCCCTTTTACACACTCCCTCTGGCCTCTGCTTAGCATGCTCAGCAATACTCTTCACCAACCCAGGTGGGAAAATGAAAAAGCAGGCTAATTTGACCAGGTTTTCAGAAAACAACTTCCAAAGCCCTGGACATTTTTTTTTTCATTCTGGAGCTTTGAATGAACAAGATGCCACCAATGGAGCTGGAAAATTGGCTGGTAGTTTAGCTCTGTGCTCATTTGGGCATTAAGAGAATAGAGATGCAAAGATACACTATGCAAAAAAAAGTCACTCAACAAACCTCTTGGAGTATAACTAAACACCTTTCTGCTGGACCATAGGTTTAGAATGACCAAGCACCTCCTTGCCAGTGTTTCTGGGGCCTGCATCTGGCCCCCGGGCCTAGGCCAGAGAGGTGCAGGGAATACTGCAGGATGATCTTAAGGAATATATTTTCCCTGAAAGGCTGAGTTTTAAAGTTGGTGAGTAGGGACCGAGGGTGTAGCTCAGGGGTAGAGATCTGCCTAAGCATGCTTTCAGCCCTGGGTTGATCCCAGCACCAAAAACAAATAGTGGGACCAAAGTAGGGGTGCCAAAAAAAAAAGTAGGGGTGCCTGTAAGGGCTGAAATGAAGTAGTGTAAGTGGGAACTCTCTATAAAGTCTTAAGTAAACATGAAGCAGTAGGAGTGTACGAGCAGACACAAGTAGAAGGTCCTCAGAAATATTAAATACATTTTCCCTATCTAGCTGGGTGTGGTGGTGCACTCCTGTCATCCCACCACTCAGGGAGGCTGAGGTAGAAGTTTGAGGCCAGTCTGGGCTACATAGTGAGTCTGAGGCCAGCCTAAACTACATAGCAAGACCATGCCTCAAACAACAACAAATATTTTTTGTACCTATAGTTCTAATCCTGAGACTCCTCCCCCCACAAAAAAGCAAGATAAAAGTGACTTTGGTGGAGGTGGCAGGTCGCACTCCTTTAAAATATAAGGGCCTATAACTTGCAACTTATGTTGAACCCCGCCCCCCAACCTCTACCCCATCCAACTTCGGGCAGGCAGACCAGGCTGGGGTTCTGGAGATGGCAGCAGAACCTTGGTTCCGAAATGGCCTTGGCCTTGCATTTCCACAACTAGAAAGGAAAGAAGTTAAAACAATGTAAAGCCCTCCCACCGGATTCCACCTTCTTTGGTTTGGCCACTTCCTTCCTTCCCTCCTTTTTCCTTCCCTTCCGGCAAGAGCTACTCTGCCCCACCTTCCTTCCTGGAGAGGAGGCCCTGCCCTTTCCTCCCGCGGAGCTGGTGCCAAAGGGATGAACAATGTGCCTGCTGGGGCGGGGTGGGGGCGGAGGGCGTGCAGAGGTGGGGAAGAAACAAACCGAGGGGTACCGCGCAAGGATGGAGTAGGACAGATGTTCAGGGTTCGGGTTGCCTTTCAAGGGTCTCTGGCCGGTTCCCTGTAGCTCTCTTTACTTGAATTTCAAGTCTCCAAGCAGCGAGTGCTGACGGCAGCAAGAGCAGTTCCCATAGTCCCACCCACGGTGTCCAAATAATGTGATTTCAGGGTGACAGAAAAAAGGGGGTGTCAGCGACATACAAAGGGAATCCCATCAAGGTAGCCGTTTGCGACCTCTCGCCTGCTGTCCCACGGCCCTTAGAGCGATAAGGCCAAGACAAACCGGAAGGAGGCAGAGAACGCAAGACAGTTTCTGGCAGTCTTTACAGGGCTGAGGTCAGAAAGGAAGGTTTTGACAAGAGAGAGGACAATAGAAAAGGTAACAGGAAACTGAAAACTGCGGAGTGAGGGGAGCGGTCGCCCCGGGACCAAACTACCCAGCAACCCGAGGAGGCGCGAGGGGGGAGGGGGCGCGCGAGTCGTTAAAGGCGAAGCTTTGGAGAGGAGGCCAAACTTGAGGTGGCGAGCACAAAAGCAGGCGCTCCGGGAGGCAGCGGAGAGGGGTGGGACGAGCGAGAGGGACGGCGGGAGTGGGCAGCAATCAAAGGGCTCCCGCGGGAAGGGGGCAGGAAGCGCGCCCGGGAAGCCCTGCTGTGTCTGGCGAGGTCGGCGGCGGGGGCAGCACGTGCAGCCGGGAGCGCCCGGGAGGAGGTCGGAGAGCGGGGGCGGCCCCGGCCCCTCTGATTAGTGGGGACCTCTTGCCTGGGGGGCCCGCGCTGCAGAAGGGGCGCATTGTGCCGGCCCGGCCGCAGCAGATTGCGGCTGTCCTGCAATACCCTCGTACCCTGGCACCGCGCCACTGGCGCGGCCCGGGGGTTAGAAATAACTGCGCCGTTCCCATGGCGACGCGGCAGCG